GAGAAAGCTATATCAGCTAATGAATCATAATCATTGGCCTCAGGAGCCAAGTAAAGGGAGATTCCATGTGCATTTTTCCAGTGGAAAAAACTTTTCACAATAGAGGTCCCAAAAACAAATTTATTATTGAGGATCAGGCGCCTTCCTGGTCTACTACCTTGAAAATTTGTTTAGGAGCAATTTTTTTTAAAGGGTTTAATTGGGTTCAGAAGGAAGGGGGGGGGAGTGCAGGTGGACAGGGTTCAGAAGGAATTCAAACCCTGATTTATTGGGTTTCCAATATAAAAATTTAGGGCCCAAATTTTTTTTAGCATTATAGAGGTACCATTTTTCTAACAGGGGGGTCTAAATAAGTTTGGAAAAATTTAGCATTATAGAGGTACCATTTACTAATCAGGATCCAACATTATCCAAACACATTGACTCTGACTTCTTGATCACTTTGCTTGTATTGCAATGATTCTTGGGGACTCGCTGTGCCACAGTGTAGCCTGCCTGGCCACTACGTCCGAAAGGTCAAGTAGACAGACAGGCCGAGGAGAACGTTTGCCTGTGATTCTTCATGGAACGGTCTTGAATCTTCAGGGGCTACGCCCTCCTCGTTGCGTCCAGGCCATGACCACAGCCATCCGACAGATCAACAAGACCCCGGGCCCCGTTTGCATGGAGTGCGTGGGATATCTGCTGGAGGCGGGACATCGAACGGCGAGAGGCGATCGCATCCAAAGACCATTGGCTTCATGGGGTGCCACCAATGGTTGACCATGTGGGGATGCACCCAATGTATGGCCTAAGGCTTTGTATGATTTGTATGTGTTCTTGTAATGAATGGCCATTGCTGTAGCCTTGCGGAACTCAGGAGAGATATAGCACTCAGTAGGGTTGTTGGTGGAACACGGGTTTCCTGCGGAACTGAAACAGAAACCAGAACCGTTTACCCTGCGTGGTCGAACGGTGTGCAGTGCTGTTTCCCCTGTGCGTGGTCGAGGAGATCCGCAGCCCGGAGAGTGAGGAGGAATTGGCCAAGGACGGTCTGGGGTGGACAGGACGTAGGAAGTAGTGGGATTCTGTGGGATTGATCGGGATTTATCCTCCAGGAAGAGATGCTTTGTTGTATCATAGGGGAATTCAGGATGGCCATGGTCCAGGAGGGGCACGAGAGGACAGGGAGTGCAGGGCATATTTCAAGATTTGGATGCTAGGTTGTTGGGACACTGGTTGGGGTCCTTGCTGGCGGGTGTGGATGCTTATTGCATCTTGTTGCTGGCTCTTGTTTTTGTTATGCTTGTGGTGGGTTGCCCTTGCAAGTAATTAGTTGCCATAGTGTCGTATAGTATGTTACGAGCACAAAAAAACAAAACACTTTTCAATATATTGTTATGTTTCAATGTTGTTTTTGGCGGGCCTTTCTTTTTGGCAGCTTTGCGCGGCGTACATGTATATTTGTTTATAAATAATTATGATTCCGATTCCTTTCTTATTATCCATGCACATGCTTATCATCCGTACACATGCTCACCGCATGAACATGGCCGGGTAGAAGGTAGGGCTGTTCGATTCTGAAAGGGAATGTTTATGGGAATGTTTGGATGTTTATTGGAGTACTAAGTGTGGGTAAACAAAAACATTGTTCGCAAACCAAGCAGCAAAAACATCAAACAACCTGTGCAAACATGCGCATTAGTGGGCAAACATGCGCATGGATCGGTGAAGAGGTGCAGGGGGCCCTTAAAAAAGAAATGGCAGCAATCTTGGTATCTCTCTAATGATCTCAAATCGCCTTGGCAGGACTTAGATGATGCCAACGTGTTCATTTGCTCCTTGGAAGTAAACGCCCGACAGCGAAGCACAAAGCATTGTTGGGACGACCCAGACATCCCAGACACTCCATGTATGGAATATATAATATATATTAAAATACCTACATTCACCGCCCTGCACCCCCAATGTATATAGGTATGGGTGTTTGGGTTTTGAGAGAACCATTTTGGGAATTCCTTTCTAGTCTTTCGAAAGAGCTGGTCGGGAACAACATCAGCAAGTAGCAATTCCAATAGAAACTTCCTTCCACAATGTGCAGGTGGATTTCTGAATGAAAAACACAGTGATATTGCCCAACAAAGGCATCCCACCAACGGCAACGGGTCCCACACATCGTGTCTTTCCGGGTCTCTCGGTCCTCCCCGTAGACAGCGAGGCTCCTTGATCTTCGTCCAGGAACTGGCGGAGAAGTTGGTGAAGATCGCTGCCTGGTGAAGATCGACTGGGTTCAACGACGAATCGCGACCGACTGGTCCGGCTTTGGCTCTGGGTTTTGAAAAACCAGGGGACCCTAGTTGACCAACGAACATGAACAGAATAGACTACCAGGGAGATCGAGATATGATATGGTCCATATGAACAAGGCAAAACATGCGGAAACAAGACCAAAACTCTAAATGATGCAGACAACAACAAGATAGCAGCACCCAGTTCGGGTGGTGATTGGATGGGTAAATTTGGTCAGTGAGGGGATATCAGGGGATGTCGGGTCCCAACAAAAACACCCCAACTGGGCCTGGAAGGGCGGTGCCTTCCTTGGAATCCTTGGATGCCTGGTGTCTTCCTTTCGTGAGATCACACCCCTTGGGCCATGAGATGCCATGTTTTAACCTTTCGCGATATTGTTCACAGACAGAGAGAGAGAGAGAGCGCTGCTGGTACATTTGGCACTGCATACTAGCGAACAGTTGTAGATGCTAATGGATATTTGGAGTGACTACCTTAAGAAAGCTTCTTTTCTACAAGAGGGAGGCATCAGTCGGTATACGCAGCGATTTGTACAGTTTCAAACGTGTTTTCGTTAAAGGTGGTTGTTGGATGGTAGGTCGGCCACACATTGTGAACCACATGTCAGGTATTTGTTGTCCAAATCATAGTTGTTTGGAACAGCACTTTGCACTTAATTACTTTCCTGGCTGACAGGATTTCAGGATTTGGTAGAGGGTCTTGTATGTTCCATGTCCATGATATCCATCTCCGCGGCTCCCACTGGCATGTTCTTTTTGGTTCAGTTTTACTCTCGTCTTCTCCCCCAGCCACCCCGTGCTCCCAGAACGGAGTAGCTTGGTCGCACCGCCAGACTTCCCAGACGCCTCAGGTGGAGCCCCGGCGGGAACACTTGGACGCTTGCCTTTGCTTCCCCTCCATGCCGGAGGTCGGGACGTCTCGATCGGGACGTGCTTCAGACCGACGTCGAGACCTCTCCAGGATTCCGAGAACGTAGCGATGCCCTTGTTCCGTTCGTAGCTTCTTGTTACTAGTGGTAAGGCCAGGAGCTACGTTCGTAGCGTCCTTTGCACCTATGACTTCCACCCCGAGACGGTCTCGAGTTGCCCGAAAGGCTTTTCAGGGCCACGGACTTATCCGTAGCCCGTGAAGCCCATCAGGGAAGCGTGAGTTTGTACATTTGCATTCTTTTCCTAACACGTATACAGTACAGTTATTAGACTTCTACTAGAAGAGCTTGACTTCCAGTGGGGTGTGCTGCGAGTGTGTGAAGGGCGGTCTAGCAACAAGATTAGGTAGACTAGACTACATTCTATTCATGTTTGGGATGATTTCACTCGTGGGATAGTGACACAGAACTGGCTTTTAATTCCAGACACAGCATCACAGCTCTATATTGACATATATGAGTGAACCCCATTGTTCTGAGAAGTCTTTGTCGGGTCCTGAAATCATTTTTCCCACGGTTCTTCTGCAGGTCATGAAGCAGAACAAACTGGGAACCTTCGACTTGACCCAGATTGCTGGCGGCCCCTTGGGCAGCTTTGCGCAGCAGGCCGCCGCTTGCGGGCGAGTGCGCATGGGCAGTCGTGGTGCGGCTTTGCGCTGCGGCTTTCTGCAGTCCAAGCAAGTCAATTGAAAAGTGATCAATAGTAAGGGGATCATTTAAGTTGATGACGTTGATGGAAGGGTTTAGCTTTAGTGATGTGTGTTTAAGACCTGCTATAGGCATTTGTGGGATGATGGCCAGGGTGTTTGACCCGCAGGAGCCTAGATATTTTGACTGAATCAAATATTGGTTTAGGTTGGTGAGTCAAGAAGGAACCTTTGGAGAAGCTCCCCCCAGCTGTCAGTGATGATTTCAGCAATTATTTCTACCATGGACCATGAGTGGCTGAGTCCTGTGCCAAAGACATTGGGTGATTTTTCCAATTCTCTTGGAACATCACTTGCTGCATCTTGGTACTTCATATCAGCCTTGGAGGCAGCTTCCCGTAGTTTTGTCACCCTGCCCCCAACCAAATCCTTTGTATCCTTTGCGCCGGCCGACGTCGCAGCACCGAATCCACCGAACGATGCTCGCTTTGCTCCAGGTGAAGGACCTGAGGCAGAAGTCTTTGTCGAACAAGCCCGCCTCCGGCGGCAACTTCCAGGACAGAGAGGGTCTCAGATGGAGATGTCACACATTTTTTGCAACAAGAAATGAGCCTTTAAACGGTTAGGGTTCGGAAGAAGGAGACCAGTGTTTTGTTGCTGATTGATAAGGCAGGAACTGAGGTGGAATAATTTGCTAGGATGTGGCAGATGTGGGTGGATCAATGTGTCTTTTTTCCCCTCCCACCTGCATTTACATCATAGGATGTACTGTACGTGTAGTTTTCATTTGGTGATTTGTCCAGGGATTTTGATTAGCCAATTTATGGTTTCATGGATAGAACCGATCCTTTTTGTTTGTTATTTGTCCGTTACACCCACCTCTCCATGGCACATGTTGGTAATTCTAAGCCTGAAGCCAAAACCACATAATTTGGCCTGTTAAAGCGAAAAAGCCTGGGTTTGCAGGCATCTAGCAGGTTTCAATACACCAAGGTAGTTTGAGGGCAAACATCAATCTAATTTATATACTAGAAAGCACCGCGTGGTTTGACGATTCATCCAGGGTCCCCGTTTCTGTCTTCAACCTCCAAAGCAAGCAGCTTGAAAAAGGTCGAAAAAGATGTGTTTGAGTTCAGTCGCGTTCAGTGTTCCGAAGTCGGGTCGTTGGCGACACTGAAGCAGGACAGCCTCCTGAAGTTGGTGCGAACACTTCCAAAGGTCAGACTTGCGTGGTGGTGGGTGGGGGGGTGACTAAGCAACCGTGTGGGCACTGCTTCCAGCGAGGTGTGGAGCGCACCGTGTTTTGTTTGGATACAAGGGATCTAGAAAGTTCTTAATCATGTATGAGTGAGTGGACTTCTGTTCCTATAGCTGAGCTGCTTAGCGTCGTTTGGATTGGAACTCATGGGCCATTGGTGTTGGGTTTCTGCAACCCTGGACCCTTGCGGTGGCAGCCCTGCAAAAAAGGGCTTCACCAGAAAAAACACGTCGTCCAAAAACCTTCCCTGCATCAACCCCTGCAAAACCCGCAGGGTTTTCTCAAGTCCGAGCGGCTGACTCGTCCTTACGCGGCGACTCGTCGGCCAGGTCTTAAAGTTCCTTCCTGGCGACCAGGCCAAAGATGCCAGGACCGACGCCGTGTCGTGTCGCCGCCGTGTCGCCGTGTCGGCGATATACGCGCCGATAAATACGCGCGTCGCGATAGGCCTGAATGTGTTGGTGGCCGTTGGTGTTGGTTTGTTTTGGGTTCCGCTCATCACGGCGGATAAATCACCTCCCAAACACCAGCGCGATGATGAGAACGACGCGACCATGAAAGATCGTCAAATGAGCAGCGCCATAAACTCCCATGTAAAGGTTTAGTAAGAGAGTTATTCTAACGTTGTGGCGCGAAAGCTAAAACCCAGGCCGCGAAAGCTCGCGAAAGCATTTTGCGAAAGACCCTGAAGAGTATTGGATGCGAAAGGTCTTGCGAAAGCATATATTAATGCTGGCACATAACCAAGTCAAACAGTTATTCATTTAGTATCTGAAAGCTGGTGATGGGACTAGAATCCGCGAAAGCTTCGCGAAAGCTTCGCGAAGGAAGCGCGAAAGCAAACCTGGAGTAGAAAATGTGTGTGGTATATCTGCTGCTTCCTATACTGTCCCTGCCCAAAGAAAACTAAAGAGGCCAGCGCGCGAAAGCGCCTGCGAAAGCAACAGTTGGAACACCAATGCGCGCGAAAGCTAAGACTGTGGTCGCGCAAGCAGCGCGTAAGGATCTGCGAAAGCATGTTGTTAGTATAAGGGCTTAGGATAGAGGTTTTTGGCATGGCTCAAATGAATCAACATGAATCGACCATCCACCAGAAGTAAACAACATCATCATTTATTCAACCACTCGACCGAAATCCAACACATCTACAAAACGTGCTTCGACGCTTCGATGTTGCAGGACCTTTGTGCTTTCGCTGCAGCACTGGCTGGGCGGCACCCCTGAGAACTTGGAGGCTCCGGGTGAGTGACCAAGGCCGTTTAACCAATGACTAGTCTTTAGCCCCGGAACTGTTCGTGAGCAAAATCATGTTCTATACACGGCCTCAAGGCCAAAGGAACTTTTTTTTTGAAACAGAGTGTTTGGTGTGTGTGTGTGTTGTTTTGTGTTGTTTTTGTTAGCTTGCTTGCTTGCTTGCTTGCTTGCTTGTTTGTTCCTTTGTTTGTTTGTTTCAAGAACCACTCCCTAATTTCTGGTTTAAGGCCACAGGGTTTCCAGGTACGGTGTGGCCCACTTCGTTTCTATGCGTTTCCATGATGGTCCTGTGATTTTCAGGCCATGCTCTTGCGGATTGCCGGTGGCTATGTGAAGGGTGTGGAGGAGAGGGGGAACCGAAAAAGGGTGAAGTTGGAAGGCTCCAAAAACATTCTGCAAGGATCTGGATCTGGAGGCTTCGAGAAAATCAGGATCATGATGAAAATAACCTTCAGTGGTCGTGCAAGATTGGCACGCAGATGAGAACACACATAAAAGAGCATGTGAGAGCACAGGTTGATGGACAGTCCAATACTGAGGAGGACCGCGTTTGATACATTGAGATCCCAGATTGCATACAGTTATTTATGTTCATGTTCTGTGAAAATCAACAAAGCCATATGGGGACCCATAGCCACATGGGTCGTGTATGTTCTTGGGAGACCCCCGATCGCCCCTGGCTAGGTCGACTAGTCCATTTCCCGAACCTTTCCAGAGGGGTCGTTGGGAGGTCTGTTCATTTCAATACAGACCCATGGATGTACCTAGAGATTCCAATAGGTGTCAATGGAGACCTACAAGTGGTGTGGCGTTGTCCAGCCAGGTGACCCCGACAGGAAACAGCAGTTATACCATGTGCCTAGAACATGCACATGGCTGAATCAAAGCCTCGGACTCAAGTAGGTTGTTGCTGGTGCTTTTTTGGGGGCTGTTTTTCCTCGGGCCTGTGACAGTTTGCTCATTCTCATTTGAAACCATTGATTCCATTGATGGCCCAAGACTTATTTGTCCCATTTTGTCCCTTTCCATGGTGGTTTCAGGTGCACATCCCCTTTGGCTAGGATTGCAGGTTTTCTGGGAGGTTTGGCGGCAAAGTAGCCACCTGTACCAAATAATGAGCGAATAGGCATGATCGCGGCAGGTTTCAGGATTTGTGAAATGTGAATAGAATTTTCACGGGTGCGATTTCAATGAAACGAGCCAGATTTTGTCCGTCCACCGGACTGATAACTTTTTGAGGGTCCACTTACCTAGAAGAAGAGGGTCCTTTCCACTACAGCAGTGGAAACATGTTGTTGATTGTGCTTTTGAATGTTACTCAACATACTCCAACGGTGGTTTTTTTTATCCAGCAGCCTTTTGGGTGTCAAGATTGTTTGACTGGAAACAAGTGTGTGAACTCACTTTGTCGGGATCCTGTGCTTTCCAGCACAAACCTCAACAAGGCATTTGTGTGTAGTTTTTCTTCTGGTGGCGTTTTGGTTTGAGCAGAAATTGACAACGGCGTTTTAATTTGCACAGGCTGAAATGTCAGACATGCAGAAAGGCGTGCATGTTTGGCTTCTCAGCTTAACCTCCCCTCCCCCCTCGCATCCTCTCTCTCTTTTCCTCCCTCCCTCCCTCCCTCCAACAAGCATGAAGTGGACAACCCCCATATTTGTCGAGGATTTGTGTTTTCTTTTCCAGGGGCCATGCCATCCACTTCCATGATTGTTTCAGGGATTGTTCCAGGGATTTCAGCACAGCACTTGATAGTAGGTACCATGCAGTATCCAAGACAGCAGATACGTTTCCTGGAGCAGATTCTTGGTTTGTCGACTCTACTCGTGCGGGGATTCGGGGGATATTCGCGGATCCGCTCGAGGAGATCGATACCGAAGCCTTGATGGACCCGGTGGTGCTGCCGGACATGGGCATTTGGCATCCGTGTCTATCATGACATCAGTGGACGTCAGTGTTTGTGTCTCCCAATGGTACGGTTTTTTGGAGTCAGTTTTTTTTTGACCCGCTTTTTGAGAATAATTATATATATTTGTACATATGGTCTTCTGGAGCTTCTGAGAGTCATTGTTCTTTCGCCGCCAGCTAATTTGGTTGCTAGTTGAAATCAGTTAAATAGATCTTTAATTTGGGAGAGCACCAGGTTGGTTCAGTGTCTTGGGCGGTACTCTGGGTGAAGTTCCCAAAGCTTCCCCTGTGACTATTGATGTTTGATTGTTTCAAGATAAAACAGCATCATTATCATTGTTTCATTGAACAACTGGTGTTGTTAAGGTTTTTGGCGAGCATGTTTTCAGTTCTGATCACTGTTCAACTGCACGCACACGCGCAAGATGCTGTCGTGCATGTAAGTTCTATTTATGTTTGTTCCGACTACTTGTTTGGTTTTGAGAGACTCGAATGAACCTGCCTGGGCCTAGCCTCTCTCTCTCTCTCCCGCCATTCCGTGAAGAACTGGTCAGGTTCTGAGCGTCGGGTCGTGTGCAAAGAACTCGCAGGATCACTTCTCATGTGATTCATAGCAATCCACAGCAAACATACTACCGCGCACTTTGAGGCTGGCTCCACAGATTTTTGACACCATGAACGACTACCGTGAGTGGTATGACAACGTGCCCCGTGGCATGCTTGGCTTGGATCTGAGTTTAGCTTCATGCTGAAAGTGAATGTGGTCGTTTCCTTATCCCTGCTCGAAACCCGCAACTTCCTGTGTGTTTAGTTTTTGTCCTCTACCCATCCTTCTGGATAGTTCGATGTTCACCCATGTGTACAGTTACAGATTTCTGATCGATTCTGTTCTGCCACCATTTGGGAGTCTCCAAACATTACAGTAATCCATGGTTTCACCATAGGACCTGAAGAGTTTCTCATAGTTTCTCCATCAACTCCGCGCTCCAATCACAACTATTCACGAATCCTTCGTGTGTTGTGTTCGATGGAGTTTGTTTGTCTTTCTTGATGTTCTCACCTTGAAGCCTTCAGATCCATCATGGAAGAACCACCGCCACGCCACCACAGCCAGGTGCATTGCCCGGCCGCGGGCATCGCCACGGAGGCGCCCACCATTGGCATGGTGCTCCAAAAGTCGCACATCGCCACCAAGGACGATGGCCACTACGTGGCTCGGCCGAGCGCAGTAGCGAGCGCGTACTCGGCTTTCGTTCGTGCGCTTGAGCTCGCGGGAAAGAGGAGGGAATGGGAGCGACTGAGTGAGGGCCGGAGTGCCCCGGTACGAGAAAGGAGGGAGACGGGGGGTGAAATGACCGGCTGCGGTTCGGTTTGGACCAGTCGACCACAAAACATCCAAGACGTCCATCAAGCCGGGGCGTGTGGGGGTGGGTGGGGGGTGTCTCCCTGGTACAAGACACCGTCTCCACACCGCTGGCGATTCCCTCCACCTGTCTGGTCGTGCTGCGTGCTGTGCGTACCGGTCGTGGCAGGTGGGCATGGTGCAGGAGTTGGAGCGGCGGGGTGCACGAGTGTGCTGCACTTACACCGGTGGCCTTGACTTCTCGGTGCCCGTGCAGGAGGGGGTGAGTGACAGAGGTGGAGGAAGGGAAAGGAAGAAGCGACGGCGACGGAGTGACGTTTGAGGTGGTTGTTTTCAGTTTCTTGGTTGGGGTAGTTGGGGGAGGAGTGGGAGAGATGGGAGAGGTTCTTTTGGGGTGGCTGAGGCAACATCGAAGTGCTTTAGAGGTTAGATGTAGCAGCAAGGCCAGATTCAGAATCGCGCCCCGTGAACCATGCCTCGATTGTGGTGTTGTTTTATCCTATGTCCACATTATGTTTGCATATGAGGAGTTCCAGAGGGGTTCTTATTAGAGCGTACACGGTGAGTGAAGAATGGGCCCATCCACCTTCTTCTTGTCAAGCGGCTGATTTGCATTCATTTGCTCAATTGTGCTGTGGGATTGGCCGGACAGCCATAGACTGAGGACTCAGGAAATAGATTCAATATCATGGTTGATAGAGGATGGTAGAGGGTGGATACCAGCCACTTCTTCCACCTTCGGTACTTGGACAACATTAGCCCATGCCCATTCTCTCACTGCACCGTCCTTTTTTTTCCTGCCAGGAGTATCTCGCCGGCCCCACGGGGGAAGGAATCTGGGCAGCAAAACCGCTGAACCGTCCCCAAAACCCGATGGAAGAGAGTACTAGGGGCTCCTGGCATCGCTCCTGGACGCTACGAACGTAGCTCCGTTCGCCATGCTCGCGGGGGTCAACCGGTCCCTGGGTCCGAAGCGGACGGTGGTGCCGGAGGTGCCGGAGGGATCTCCCAGGAAACGCCACCCGAAGAAGGAAGGATAGACCCATCCAAAATCCGGCGGTGTTTCCCATAGCACACATGCACCATCATGCACCCTGATGCATGTGGATGTGGGGCATGGGTTTTCCTGCCCAGCACGGCTTTCACAAAATAGGTGGGTTCGCGGCGTTTGGGCGGTGCTTCCGATACAAGGCACCTCGATTTTGCCCGAGAGGTGGTGCAGGGGTTTCAATTTTGGACGTGAAGATCACTATACCTGGACCCTCCAAGGGGTGCCCAATGGAAGCCTATAGGTAGTGTGGGGTAGTCCATTGGACACCCCTTGGAGGGTCCAGGTACTTTTAGTCTTTTTTCAATTTGTTCATTCACTTGCCCACCTGACTTAGTGCTGATTGATAGACTCTGACTCCAACCTGAAGGACACCCGCATCTTCCACCGCATCTTCCTCCCTTTGGACACAGTCTCCGCTGAGGGATGGTCGATGCTCTGGTGAACCTCACTGGATTCTCCCTGGTGGGCGGCCCTGCCTCTCAAGATGCCAAGCCACTCGGCCTCGTGGATTGTCCAGTGTGACAGTCCGATAGTTTTGGGGCCTTTTCGTCAAGGACCTTTTCGGTTTCAGGCAGGCTTGCATGATTCACCTACGTACTTGTATCGAGCCACTATGTTGGTCCGAAACAAGCGGCAACGGCTGAATTGCAGAATAAATACGTTACAATATAAGGTATAATATATGGTATAATGTGTTTAACAAAGAACGCAAAGACATAGACCTTGTTTCATTCAATTCCACGAATTTCTTGCCCTGGAAAGACAATGAAAGACATGGGGCAGGTGATGTTTGTGGAAGGTTCGCCCCGTTTCGGTTCGCGTTTCGGTTCGGCTGCCGGACTCGTGTCGCGATGACTCCGTTCGCCCCGTTTCGGTTCGCGTCCGTTCCATGACGTTCCCAATAGCCTATCTAGTCCGATGCCTTCACACCCTTGTTTTACACATCGATGTGCTGCCCGACACCTGGTGTGGAAAACCCTCACATGCCTCCCGTTCCCCTTGCGTTACACACGACCTCTTTGGCCGTTCCTCGGCCGTTCCTCAGGAAGGCGAAAGAGGTCCTGATGAAGCTGAACCGACCCTACATGGCTTCCCGGCCTCGATCCAACCGGGTCCGGAAAGGGGGGTCCGGAAACGTGACCGGGGTCCCGTGACGTGACGTGACCGGTGGCTCCGATGGGTCCGATTTTTTGTGAGTTGGCAGTGAAGGCAGGAAAGAAGTGCTTTGCCAGTTGTCAGTCCAGTCTTTTATTTTTCACCTCATTATGCTTCTATGTGAGCACAGAAATTGCTTGTGAGGCCAGCAGCTAGGCAGTTATTCAACGATTGCATTGGTTCCCTCTCAGCACAGCACAGCACGTTGAGTTGTGACACCAACACATTCCTGTGCCATAGATCAGAGTTGAGCGGCTTCTGACCCACTATGTTTGTTGATTCATGATGATTTTTCATAAGACGGGGATCGCAGGGTTGCGATCTGAGTTTTTACGTAGACTTTCTTTGTGAGTCAATGCCCCGGCATGCCACTGCATGCCACAGCCATATTGATCAAAATCCGTGGCTTTGTTGCCACCTAAGAGGTTGGTCACCACTTAGGTCCTTAAAGCAAGACTGCTGAGAGGAGTTAAGCTGCCAAAGCCACGGTATTTTAGCTGTCATGCCAGTGGTTCGTCAAACTTCCAGGGTGCATTCATCAGGTTCGAGTGCTTCGTCATCGAATGCAATGAAATAGGTAAGATGTAAAGGAGTTGCTGAGGAGTTGCTGTTACGTTCTTACAGCTCTCCTGTGTAGATCTGTGTAGGTGATTTGAGATTGGGTACATAAACATGCATCTCACTCCTCCCAACCCGCAACCTGTGTATCCTAATATAATATGTGTTGGGTATGGAATGAACCGAACAGCTGGGGATCAACAGGACAACAACCTTCAACCAGTTTCACTTGTTACAATGGATAATTCCTGGAATCCTGATGATGTCAAGAGAGATGTCAAGCATGTGTTCGTTCCCAAACCAATATTGAATGCCTTTGCATGTTGACCCTCAACTGGACCCTCAACCAGCATGGCCTTCATCAGGCCCTCATCCGGCATGTTCGCCGTTCTCCTGTCGATCCATTTCTCGGCTCAACGGATCACACAGACGGAATCGGATCGGTTGCCCCTCTTCCGCGGTGGATGAGGTCAGTGTGCCGTTGGTGTTCCAGTCCTTTACCGAGTGGCAGAACAGCCAACTGGGTCTCCATCCGGTTCAGGTGGGCGCGGCCAACTCCGGCGGTCCCGTGGTGGCTGTGAAGGATAGTTTTAGAGTAGATCTGTAACCCAGACACTCCATGGGACTGCCATATATGCCTATACATTGGGGTGGTTTTGGGGGTCATGTAGGCATATATGGCAGTCCCAGGATTAGGTTGGGTTTGTCCCAATAAACCAGTAGAGCCGTTGGAAAACAATCATCATTATGTTTGAACGAGCCCTTTACTAACGATCATCGTCCACTGTTGGTAATGGAATACCCAATCGATATTTTCTAGGTTGTTCAGAGTAGATGACAAATACAGCGTCCCCATTTGGGAGAGCCGTTGAAACAACGATCTGGTCCATGTACTGTCACCTGTCATAGCTTCCACAGGTCCAGAAAGCTATGATTCCTGCAAAGGGGGGTCGAGGGTTGGATCATGTTGCATCCCACTACTCAGCGTATGCATGAGTCCCACTGCTCCACTGCACAGTCCCAAGAGCCATCCAGATGTTCAGAACGCAGCGGTGCCTGAGTCACTTCATGCACAGTCACCTTTGTCACTTCTAGGGGTGCCCAAGATCCAACTCACTCACTGGATGGGACTAAAAACACCATCCCCTTTTGTGAACAGGGGTGCTCTCAGGGGACTCAGGGGTGCTTATTTGTTCGTTCACCAGCAGACTCCGACAACTCGACCGACGCGTGCCCGGCGCCACCTACGACCGACGCGTGCCCGGCGCCGTGAACGAGCGGCGCAGGTGGCCTTGCAGGTCTCGCTGCCCGAGATCGACGGCGCCATCGAGCCGCTGATCTTCAGCGGCCGCGATGGCACCAGTGGCCGCTCCATCCCCATGCAGGAAGCTGCGGTGGAAGAACAAGGGCGAGGAGGTTTCTGGAGGTTGTTTAGGGAGGGTCAAAGGATGGAGATCAAGTGCGCAAGATGTGACTTTGCCATTGATTTTGAATAGCGCAACAATGCTATCAAGTCAGACATCTTAGGATCGTTTGACATCAGACCTCATTGACTCTGATATTGTCATAATATATTGTCAGACCTCCCAACAACAAACCCGCTCCCTGCCTTTCACCGAATTCTCCTGGGGGCATTTGGAAAACCCCCCAGGACCGCATCGGCAACCTGGCCACGCGCGCCATGAACTGGGCAAATCTGCGGCGCAAATCCAACGCGGTACCGGGGCGCAGTCGGGGGGTCAGGGAGTGAAACCGGGGCGTTTTTTGTTTTTTCCGCGTCATGGTCTCGTCATGGTTCGAGTGGATTGGGTGGTATACGGATGAAAAAATAAAGATGGATTAAGGATTGCATCATTCGTCATGAAGCTGTGCTTTTGTCATGTGGTTATATTTCTTTCTGATTTAACATTTGGGTTTGGGTAATTGAAACACTATATATTTACATTTTTTTGTACTATATACTATTGATTCATATTGATTATTTTTGATTCTGTTGTTCTTTTTCAGGATTGAATCGGCGACCGTCGACTGGTTGGTTCGACTGGTGCCAGCAGTTCCGTTGAGGCTTGACTTAGTCACGTTCCTAAGTCTGTGAAGAATGGGCACCTGGGCACCTGCTATCTTCCGCTCCCCTTAGGAACTGCTGGTGGATGAAATATTCTAATTTGGGCCAATTTGGGTTACTGATTACTGGTGATGACAGGTGAAGGACAAAGTGGGTTTCTCTCCCATGGATCCCAGTGGGTTGGCTTGGCTGTCTAGAACCGAGGAGATGCTTGATTTGGAATATGCTTTGAGACAAACTCATTGGTTGAAGTCGCAAGTTGACACGATCCTATGAGGGTTGGTTTGGATACCATCCCGGTGTCCGTTATTTATCGGGAACGCGCCACATAGAGCCCCACAGTGTGTGAGGAATAAGACATGGTACGGTTCTGTTGTACCTTTGTCCTGTCATTGACAAATGCTGGTGTTATCCGGTGTTTGGAATAGACTACAATCTTGTTGTTTCGATCCTATTGAAGTGCTAATGAGAATCTAACAAGCTAGAAGGGTCACCTATCTTGGCTATCGTCACCTGCACAGGGATGAGGACTGTACAGTGATATACCGGTGCAATTGCATCAGAAAAAATAGAGCTAATTTTGCAGGACAGCATGTATGTACAGGAAACATGCTTAGACGGACATCTTCACCATCCTGTCCGACTTCAGGAGAAGAAGCTGAGCATTTGCGTCTTCCAATTCCCACCGGACAAGGCGCCACCTGAAACGCATCCACCAAAACCATGTTGAATCATTCTCTATGTGTTGTGAACTCCAAACAAAGGACCGAGGTTCTATGTTGTGAATGCGTTTGGACTCCACACATGTGTGGCCCCTGGCCCTCTTTACTGTGCTGAAAGGATCCACCTCAAATGTCCCAAACAAGAGACAAGCCAAGAGCCCATCTCCTCAGAGGTAGGCCAGGAGCCCTAGGGAATGTGGACATTTGTTTCCAACCCGAGAAGGACGAATCGCGAGATGAATCGCGAGAAGGACTGGTGTTTTTTTTGCGGAAAAACGTTTGTGCTGTGCTTTGGAGGGCAATGTGGGTACGGCTGCGTATTTGGATGTCTTCGGCAGCATCTATGCGGTCATGAAGGAGTTAAAGAAGCAGGGCTACACTGTCGAGGAGAGGGATCACATGGGAGCATCATATCAGCACTTCTGTGGCTCAGCTTGCTTGTTCTTCCATGATCTTCCCATTCTTTCTTATAAATGTTCTTTTGCTCAGTTCTCTACCCCTACTTCTCCTGTCGTCCTGTTGCACACCGAGCGGTCGAAGATGACGGTCGGATGCGGTTGAAGCCGACTCGCGCCAGGACATCCCTGAGACGGTCGAAGGCCGGGAATGTCCGGCGCCGGGCGTTTCGGGCTCTATGCACCGAAAAACGTTTGATGAAATGAGTTAGGCTGCGAAATGAGTTAGGCGGAGGGTTTGGTTTGGCCATGTTTGGTCTGAAGATGTTTGAAGCTCAGTTAGTTTATAGACGAAAGATTAGTTCAAGTGTTTTGTAGTTGGAAGGACCAGAAAGGTGTGGGATGACGATGGATGACGTCGGGGTCCGCTGGGCAAACGTGTTTGCATTCTTTTTATGTTAGGCACGCTGATTGCAGAGACCATCCATGAAACCTTTGAATTGGACAAACAGTGAGGTGCTATGTTTTTCAGTGGTTGACTTGTTTAACAATAATCTCAATTTGGATATTTGTTTATCCTAGGTCCTAGTTGACATTACAGTTTTGCAGCGACAGCTGCTCCTTTCCAGGGTGGCTTAAACTCTTCAACACGTCAAGTCGGAAAAGAACAGCGACTGCAGCGCCATTCCGCCCACCGGTTTGCTCCATCCGGTGTGGTGGATGAAACGCGGCGCCATGCTCTCCATGCCTTCAGGTTTGCAAAAGTCCATCTTGGAAGACCCCGAGGCGGCCATGTCCATGTCGGAGCTCAACGTGGCCTATCGCATGAGTGTGGACGAGTACGAGGCAGGGTACAAAACACCACGTTCGGTGCAGAAAAACGCGTGGAGCGGTACCAGAAGTCGTGTACAACATGCATGGAATGAGAGAGTGATCCCCTCGCCAGGAGCTGTGCCCCTTCGCGCACGACCTGCGGGAGAATTGGGGACCTCCGCCCGGGGAGCTCAACACCGACGGCCAGGACATGCTCATTTACGGTGGCCTGGACGGTAAGACGACGAACGGGTATCGGACGGATCCTGGAAACGATTCGCCGGTGTCAACGTCCAAAAACGATTTGCGCTCGTGACCTGTGGGTGTGATGTTGAAGATTCCCACCTAGTGATTCAGTGAGGAATGTGGAAAAGAACCTGCATTCCAGCTTGTTGGAATGCAGGAGTGGTTTCCCCAAAAAATTAACACGCTGGTGGTTGCGGTACATTTGGGGACCACAGGCTGGCATGTATCCCAGACCATGTATGGAATAGTTACCTACATTATCCTGCTCTAAATGATCAAACATGGTGTCAACGTTTGTATATATAACTATTTCCTACATGTCGTGCCAGGGTAATTAGTTGTCAGGGCATGTTCATCTCGCTTGCAGTCGCTGTTTAAACTCCAGACTCGAGTCCATTGAGTCAAGATGAGTCTGTCGTCTGTCCACCCAGTGTAGCAGTTCCAAGGGTTGTTCAAGGATGTTGATGATAGTTAGGTTGACACATTGGATGCTGATTTGTTCTTCCAATGTTTCGTGCGAAGGATTCGAGTGATATAGTGATTGCACATGCACCCCCTCTTCCAGGGTCATGGAAGTGGGCTGCATCACCTGGATTCATCATCCCAGTCTTCGAACCATTCCATGTCTCATTACAGATCGTGGATTGGACCAGAGACACCAATAATTCACCCATTCGGACCGAGACGGAGCGAACACGGTGGACCCTGAACCGTGAACCCTAAACCCTAAACCTCTGCGTCCCGTCAGCTGGACTGCCAACCCAACTTCAAGTGATGTGTGGACAGCAAAAAGAAGCGCACCACTTGCATGAAGCTCTCACTCCCAACCTTGTGCTTTCCTGATCGCGTATCCAACAACGTGCAAAACACACACTATCACACACTTGAGAAGGTTGCTCCGTGGAGCGTGATTTCAGGTAGCTTCGCGGTGTGCATTAGCCCTTTAAATCTAGATACTGCAGGAAACAACGTATGAGACGGCGTTGCACTGACTTAGAAACATCAGCGATTGAAGATCAAACTTAGTATTAAAATTGCAGGTACGTGATCCTAGCGTCCCAGGATCATATCAGCCATGGAATGCAGCCCTCTTCGTTGGACAACCAACTGCATCCATGGGGTTGTCCCCCTGCTTCTGTACAGACAAGTTCGTAGGGTAGATTAGAAAAAACTAGAGTAGTGTCCTTGGAAACAGGAGTGGACACACACACACTGAGCCGTATCGGCGCAACTAGATCGGATCAGGTAGGACCTGGATAATAAATAGTGGAAGTGCTTGACATTGAAAGGTTCAATACTGTAAATTGTATATCACAGCAGTCTGCGAAAGTGCAGGCACATAGTCTTTTCCTCTTGGCCGCAGCGCCGCGGCGCAGTGTGCTGGTGAATGACCTTTG